TTAATTTAAATTCAAAATGAATTAGATTTGAATTAATTTAATTTTAAAAATTAATAATTTAAATTTAAAATAATCCAAATTCAATAGTTAAATCTAAAATGGTTCAAAAAATTTTTGATCCGAAATTATTAGATTCAAACTTGATCCAAATAGTGTCTAGACGACTAACTGGTTCAAAGTTAAAGGGCAAGATCATAATTAATAAATCTATCAATTGATTGATATATGTAGGTAACAAGCAATGGGATTTTCAAAGCACCCCAACATAGAGCAGTGGCAAATGGATTGAAGGAGAGGCTATCGGTGGTAACATTTTGCTATCCTAGTTCATCTGCCAACATTGGGCCAGCCGAGCCACTTATCAAGTTGGGAACTCCCCCTCTATACAAGACCGTCACCAATGAGGAGTATTTTCATTACTTTTTCAACCGAAAGTTTGATGATCCATTCATTGATATGCTGAAGCTGAAACCCTAATATATCGCTTAACTTGTGGTATTCAGGGCACATCTAGTGTACAAGATTATAATAAGATAAAATTATATTATAAATTAAATTAAATTAAATAATATCATCTTATTTTATGTTTGATGTATGTAAGAACTATGATACGATAATTTATTTATTAATTAAAATTATTTTTTGTCAAAGTTTTTACAATTTAAATTATTGATATAATATTTAAAACTATAATTTGACATATAAGTTTAATCCCATGAATTAAAAATAATTTTCTCTACTTGAGAAAATAGTAAATCATCTATGCCAAGAGGATAATTAATCTTTCATGCAATCCTATTCATTTCTTTAATACAAATCAAATATGATATGAAATAATTATCATTCTATCATATTCATCATCATATATACCAAACATGGCCTAAGTTACATATATAAATGTTGTGTCCCTGTATAATTTTCTTTCCTTATAACTTTTTGTCATTAGATTAAGTTAGAGATTTTTCTAACTTTTATTTAGATCAATTTTGAGAGTTTTTTAAAAGCATTCTGAATCTCTTATTAGAGTTTCTCTTCTTATTTGTACAATTTCTTATTTTATTTTCAAACGTCATCCTAAATATTAAATGATTATCATTCTATGTTATTCTAATAATTTTATTTCAAAAAATTAGGTCCCGACCCTAGAACTCATGTCAGAATTCGATTCTAAAAAAGATACATTAGCTGTTGTTTAATATGTTTCACATTTTTAAAATTTAAATATTTTTACTTGGATTTATGGCTATCTTTTAAATGAATATTTGCATTCTGAATGGGAATACAACGAGCTTAGTGAGAAAAAAAAAAAACACAGACATGATATGTGATCATGAGTGCATCAAAGCTTTTATTTTGTAATTTACATATTTAACTATATGCCCCGTAAGTTGTATTCAGTAACGTTGTTGAAAAAAAGTTAGTTTCATTTGGGACGGACAGTGAAATGATTTAATAAAATTAAAAACAGTAATAAAAATTATTTATATTATGATTAAAAAAATATTTATAATTGTGATTAAAAAAATTAATAAAAAATTTATAGTAAATGAACCTTATTAAAATTGATATTTAATTTAATTGACAGTATGATAAATTTAATCATATCATATCGTACTTATAGTTGAATCCAGACTTAGTCAAAGACAATTAAAGAAAGAAAACATAATCTTAAATTATAGACAATGACTTGCTCTTTGTTTTATATTTTTTAATCTCCTCTCAGCATTAATTGAAATGGTTTGTATATATATTCTTAAAGTTATAGATTTAAAAAAATTTCAACATATAATATCATTTTCATATAAATTAAATAAATAAATATTAAAAGAGGTTAAAATTGATTAAAAATTAAAAAAATATTTTAAAATCTTTGAAATCAGTTTCGTATTTTTTATTCATAAAAATGGCTTTTAAACGAATATAATTGTTTTTTTTTTCCCTACGACTTAGATATTGAACACTCCAAATCCTAAATTTCATTGTTAAATCCAAATTATTTCAATAAAAAACAGTTTACAGAAATTACATATATAGATATATTAAGTTGCTTGTGTAATTAATTTTTTTAGTCTCCCAATTTTGTTTCATATATATTTTCTACTCAGCATGGGCGGCCATTTTCAATTAATGATTAAATTGGGTAACATGTGTCTATCTCGTTTCAATTATTTTAGCAGGGAAAGCCTGTTACCGTGGTGCATGTTTGGGCAACAAAAACCAGGGCATTGAGTTTAGCTGATTACCTCGTATGTCGATCAGCAACACACAGAAAGGAGTTGTGATCAGAAATGGCTGCATGGTGTAGCTGTTGCAGCTGAGCCCGAGAGCTTCAAGTTGTCCCTACAGGTTCCTAGTGTGCAAGAGATTGCAACACATCGGCTTGAGACGATACCGGCAAGATACATAAACATTAATATTTGATGCAATATCATATTAATTTTTAATTCAAAAAACGGTTTTAAGAGATGGAGTTTTATTTTTATTTTTAATTACTTTTAATTTTTTATTTTATTTTAATTATTTTTTAAAATTTATTTTTATTCATATCTTATATATATTAATATATTTAAATACGTAATACAACGTGAATAATATATTTAATTTAATTTTATCATATTAATACATATTCAATTAATTTAATACGTTTAACATATTTAATAGTTTATTTTTTATATTTATTTTAATTTAATATAAACATATAAAAATTATTTTAATTTTTAATTTTTTAATTACGATAATTAATTTAATGTCATATAAAAATTATTTTAAATATTTAATTATGATAGTCGTTTAATAATTAAGAAAAACGAATCAATGAAGGGAAGACGAGAGGAGGAAACAACACAGTAAAATTTGAGGCCATTTGGAGCGGCGGATGAGGAGTTTTCGGAAGAAGAAACCGCCTGCCTTAAGCCTTGGATCTAGGAGTTTTGGTTGATTTTTGAGAAAATTTACTTGGACAAAAGGAAAGAGGAAAAAGAGAGAAGTGTTGGGTTCAATTTTGGGAGCAAAACTGCGCCGACAAGCGATGGCCGATGACGACAACGATGGCGATGGCTCAACGGAATCTGGGATCGGAAGACTGTTGGTTAAAATTTTAAGGGGAGAGTTTTCTACAGAGAGTGTGCGGGAATTTTTTTTTTTCAAATTAGTTTTTTAAGTTGTTATTTAAAAAAAATTAAAATGAATTGTTAAGGTTTTAAAAAAATTTAAAAATGTAATCTGACGTGTATTAAAAAATAAGCCACATGACCTATCATTTTATCCATGTCAGCATCTTTTAAAATCTAACCCACTCAAAATATCACGGTATTTTAGTGAGGCTATTTCTATTTATACCCCAACTTCTTCACAATATACCATAACTTTTTAAATTTTAATAAATTTTTTTAATTATTTATTAGTTAATTTTTTTTTGTCTTTCACACCTGTTTTCTTAAATTTAATTTTTTGATATTTTTAAAGGTTTTTAAATATTTATTTTCGAAAATCTTGAATTTTTAAAATTTTTTAAAAGTTTCCATACATTTTATTTTTGAAAATATTTAAAAACTTTCATAAACTCATTTTCAAAAGTATTAAATCATATTCCAAGATTTTAACATGAAATTTTAAGAAATTAAATACGAAATCAAATGAAAAAAATAAAAAAATAAACAATTTGCTTTTGATTTTATACTTTTTAACCTCAAATTAACAAAATTTATTTTAAATTTGATTTGATTGTGATTTAAAATTTTTGGATTTTGATTGAGAAGAAAGAGAGAGGAGATAAGATATGAGAGAAAGAGAGGTGATGTGTTTGGATTTTTGATAAATTTATGTTTTAAGTATGTGATGTGTGAAGTAAAAAATAGAATGTTAAAAATAAATGATGTATTGAGTAATTATTGAGGTCCAAATAACAAAACTCATTTAGTTAACGAACATGCAAGCTGATTAAATGTAACATCAATATATTTAACAAAAAAATTAGATGAAATTAATAATTACATTAAAATTATTAAATTAAAATAATATAATAATTATCTTTAGCTATTTGATTTAATGATCAAATCAATCTTAAAAAGATATCAAGTTTGAGATTCGAACCTTAATCTTTTTCTCTCTCTTTTTATGTAGGGTTCAATCCTTTTGAATGATAAAAAAAATAATATAATAATTAAATTTATATAAAAAAATTACAGAAAAAGATTAAATTTCAAAATTTGTCATAATATAGGGACTTATGGGATATTTGGACTATCAGAAAAAAAAAAGTTATTAAGAAAAAAGATTTTTTATGAAAATTAAAAAAAAAAAAGGTTATTTCTCTTAAAAAATTAGATTTATTTTTACAAGTAAGACTGTAGCTTGAGAATAAAATAAGAGATTATATATAATGAGATTTGAGATCAAAATTTATAAAATTTTATTTTTTAAAAATAATTATATAAATCAATATAATTAAATTTTAAATTTTAAAAAAAATTTATTTTGCAATTCAAACACACATTAAAGCTAAATTACAAATGAAATCCAAAATGGATTTTTTTTTTTTTAGTTACAACCCTTTAAGAATTGAGTGTTATAGCTAAGCATTTTTTCGGCAATAACTAAACAGTTCAATATTCTAAAAATTAAAGGGACCAATAATGTCTAAATCGAACAATTCTCCTTCGTTATGAAATTACTTTTTTTTTCATTTTATTAATTTTATTTGTTTGTAATGAAATTTAAGAAAAAAAAAAAGGTATAAATGTGACATATTTTAGATTAAAATTATTTTTTAATATAATTTTTATTATTTTTAATGTCTCAAATAAAAGAAATTCAAGAAATATAAAATAAAATTGGAATATAGAAAAAAAAAGAATATGACTTTAAAAAAATATTTTTCTTTAAACAAAAATTATTTCTAGTTTTGTGGCAATATTTTTGAAATGTACATGGAAAAATTATTAAAAAGGTGGAAATCCGGGCTCTAGATCGGATTGGTCCAATGACGCGGAGCGACCAACTTGGCTGCACGTGTTGACATGTGGCTCCGCCGATTTTTCCCTTTTTTTCGCATTTATTCTTTTTTTCGCTAATTCTCTCACCGTTACTTCTTCTCTGAGTTTTCCACGACCGGCCTGCCCTCCCACGCATAAACCCTCAACGGAATCTCGTCGGAACTCGGATCTGCCTCGCCGGAATCTTCTTCGGATTTACGGCTTTCTCTTTAGTCGAAAGGTCCTTTCTTTTCCGTTCCAAATCTTTCTGTTTATTAATGTAATCAAATAATTTTATGTACATGTGCATTTTTGCGTGATCTAATTTAAATTTTTCTTGTAAATTATAATGAATTACTATCTAAAATTTCTTATTTATTATTATTATTATTATTATTTACTTTGTAGTTTAAATTGATGGATCCTTGATTCAAAAATTCTTCATGTTCATTTTTTTTTAATTCTGGAAATTAGATAAATAAGTGAACATCTATGAAAGAATTGATTCTCAGTTGTTTAGATTCAATCTGTATGTAAAGCTTAGATTTTTATTATTATTGTTATTATTATGAAATTTGGGTCCTGGTTGCTTTCCTGTTGCTGTTACTTAAGGGCGTAGGTCTAATTTAAAACAAATAAAAAAGGGTTTTAAATGTTTAAATAAGGTGGGGCTATGTGGCATTAGTAGAAGTTGAAATTCTATTCAGGGTATTACACAATCTTTCGATGTTACATTCTCAAGTTGTCAAAGAAAGAGCATTTGAAACTGAAAGCAAATTATTTTGGGGTTTGTAATTGAAGTTCTCACTATGTTTTCTCACCTTTTGTTTGATTTCAGAAATGTATAGTAACTTGGGAGCCCAGCCTGGTGTAACAAGACCACCAACAAATTCTCAGCCAAATCCATTTGGTAATGCATTTTATGGTGCTGGTTCTGGTCTTATCCGAGGTGGTCTGGGTGCATATGGAGAGAAAATTTTGGGATCAAGTTCTGAGTATGTGCAAAGCAATGTAAGTAGCATGGTGGGTGCAGTTATCTAGAGAGGTCTACTTATTGCTATTACCATATGCTTAAATACTGCATTTTTTCACTTCTAGTCGCTTCCTGATATTGCTTTTCAGGAATACCGTCAAAGTGATATGTTAATTTAAATTGAAACCAAAGAAAATTTCTTAAACTTCTAAACAAAATTTCATGGTTCAATTTGATTACCTGGTCTTTATATTTAAAAGTATTTTCTTGAACTTAAAAAAAAAAACTATTTAAATATATGCAAATTTTAAAGTAAGTAAAAACGCATTGAAGTTGGTTGTGATTAGATTATTTTGATTTTAGTAGAACCCAAAACTAAAACACACCAAAAGGTTGTTACCATTACCTGAACTGAAATTGAACTGAGAACAATAAAAACTGAATCAAGCTAACATCATAGTTCAGTTAACCTTTTATGATTTTGGCACAGCCCTAACGTGGTGCATTTTGCTATCTGAGGAGTGACCTACAGAAGTTAATACTTAAGATGAATTCTGTGGGAACAATTGTATACACCATGTCAATTTTTAGCATTAATAAGCATGGGTTAATTGTGTAATAAAGACTAAAAAATGTTGATATAAATGGCATAGGAAGTTAAAAGACATTCCTATTATTATAAAAGTAATAAAATGCCTTTGCTTTAAATACTTTAAATAGTTATTAAGATATAAAAAAAGGATCCATATCTGAAATGCTCCAAATTTATGAATTTTGTTCTCGCCTTATAATTTTTTTTCCATCTTGAAATAAGCAGATAAGTAGGTACTTCTCTGATCCCCAATACTACTTTCAAGTTAATGATCAGTATGTTAGAAACAAATTGAAGATTGTTGTATTGCCATTCCTGCACAGGGTAAGCATATTCTGCCCTTTGTGACATTTTATGTATTTTTGTTTATTTACCTTCTCATATCTCCCTTTTCCTTCAGGGCCATTGGACAAGAATAACTGAGCCAGTAGGTGGCAGGCTTTCCTATAAGCCCCCAATTTATGACATAAATGCACCAGACTTGTACATCCCATTTATGGCATTTGGTACCTATGTTGTGCTTGCTGGATTGTTACTTGGCCTTCAAGGAAAGTAAGTGATTCATTTTCCTCAATCTAACATTTTCTTCTATTTCTACCTTCTGTTTCCCAATTTGGCAATGTACATTTTAGCAGTTTGAAACCTTGTTCTGGACAGAAGTCTTCCTGCTTTGTTGTAATCTTTTATTAAGTTACTTCCAAACACTTTTTACTAACAATAACTTGGCATCTTTGAGGGGTCTGACTTCTTTTTTTACCTTTATGCCCCAATCCTTCTCTTGCTAGAGAGGCTTTCCTTTTGTATTCTCTTGGGGTCTTGAAGTAGAATCCAATAGCTAAAGCAATGTGTGTGGCGTCTAATGTTCTTTATTCTATAGTTGAATATCCCTGTGAGATGAAGGCAAGTCAAGAAGTTTTGCATTCAGGCACCACAGGAAGAATGGACCTTTCTATGGATAGTGTGCAAGTTATGAAGGAAAATAAAATGGTTGTTGTTATTCTTGTACCTTGTCATTGGTTATTTGACATTTTTCTGTATATTGACTTATTTTTGGAACTTGCAATAGTCCATCTTGTGTCTCCTTTGAAAAACTTAGGCTTCCATGTTGATGCTCTATACCCTAAGATCTGGCTTTTATTATTAGTCTAGTCTTGTTTCTGGTGGTGACCCCTCTAGATGCAGTATTGTGATTCATAATGTGGCGAACTTGATTTTATTCACTTTTAGTTTTCTATATATATACTGCTTGGCAAGACTACATATCCCGTGTTCCCCTTCTGTTTCTCTAATGGTTTCTATTCTCTCCTTTTCCACCAGGTTTAGCCCTGAAGCACTTAACTGGCTGTTTGTTAAGGGATTGTTTGGCTGGTTTCTGCAAGTCATGCTACTGAAAGTAACATTACTATCATTGGGTAGTGGTGAGGCGCCTTTACTCGACATTCTGGCATATGCTGGGTATACTTTCACGGGAATGTGTTTGGCTGTCCTCGGAAAGATCATATGGAGATACTCATACTACTTTTTGATGCCGTGGACATGCTTATGCATGGGAGTCTTCTTGGTGAAAACAATGAAAAGAGTCCTCTTCGCAGAGGTTAGAAGTTATGATTCCAGCAGGCACCACTACCTTTTGCTCTTTATTGCCCTGGCTCAATTTCCTCTTTTCACATGGCTTGGCAACATTACTGTTAATTGGCTTTTCTAAAACTGCAGCATTTTCTAAGTTGTTGAAGGAAAGAATTCTGTGTTTATATCAGCTCTAACAGTGCTTCTAGGCAATTTTACCATAGAGAATTTCTTCTCTGGTTAATTTTTTGTTTTTCACATTCATAGAAACCAATTTACATGTGCTAAGAAAGTTAATAATAGTTTTTGTTTGAATGGTTACATTTAAATGGATCACTGAGAAATTCATTTTCTACTTTTCATTTACTAGATGGATAGAATGACGTCTCCCTAGAATATATTCGCTGCTCTTTCACTATTTGTCAATTGCCATCAATCTCACTAATGCAACCTAAAGCTAGCCTCTGACCTCCCCGGCAAAGGGGGATGTTTATTGGGCACATCAGGCAATTATTTGCAAGGCTGCCTCTGATCCTCACCATGCTGCTATTGAACTGGGGTGGAAGACGACCTGATAGGAAGTTATCATCTAAAAACAATATTCTCCATGGTCTCCCCAATCTCAGTCCATATGCCATCGGTATTCGACCTGTCAATCCATTGTATGCTAGATTAATTACTGCTAACCTCTCAAAGTTGACCAATTTAACAGGCAAATGACCGTGCAGACGGTTCCCTTGTGCATCAAGTACTTGAAGTGGGGACCAACTCCGAAAATAGTTGTTCACCTCTATTGCTGTGAGTTGGTTGAAGGAAACATTAAGGTGCTTCAACTGAGCCAATGCAAGAATTCCCCTACTAATGGGACCTGAAAACATGTTATCACTCACATCTACCAATCTTAGCTATTCAAGATTCTCTAATGATGTAATATGTCCCGAAAGCCGGTTGTGAGACAAAGTCAAAGTTCTCAACCTTGTAGGAAGCTTTGGGAAGCTTCCGCTTAACTTATTGGAGCCAAGCTCTAATGTCTGGAGCTGCCATAATCCTTTAATGTCAGGAATTCTTCTGGAAAATTCATTATTTGACAGGCTTAAGTGAGTCAATCTTCGTAGTTCAGAAATCCTGGCAGGGATCTGACCTGAGAGGAGGTTTCTCGAGAGGTCTATTCTTTCAACCTTGTTCAATCCATGGATCCATCCTGAGATGCTGCCAGTGAAAAAATTGCCTGAAAAAGAAATTCGGATTAGCTTCTTGAGATTTTTTAATGTCTTAGGTAATGGCCCTCTAAAACGGTTTCTGCTTAGGTCAAGGGAGGTAAGCTCAGTAAGGTTTCCTATATTGTGTGTTAGAAAACCATCATATCCTGCTCTATCAAGTTCAATTGATACTATTCGGCTTGTTGAATTGCCCGAAGGGATGGAACATAAAATTCCAAGAAAATTTGCACCTGTACTTTCACATGGATCCGCTGAGAAATCCTAAGTAGTGAGGTAAGATGACGCTGGAATCATGTTGGGATCAACGGAACTTTTCAGGGATTGAAGAGCTTCAATATCTGATTTTAAGGTCAATGAATGAACAAGTGAAAGAATAGAAGTTAGAACTATAGGAAAGATCATGGAAAATGAAGAGAAGACGGAGTGACGCATGTCTCTGGCCATTTGGTTTGAGGAATTGCTGTCATCTTAGCAGCTGGGAATAACTTATAAATAGTTCTTCACCAGGGTCTGGAAATGGAGATTTACTCTTAGAAAGTATGATCATGCCAAACTAAGGACACCTAAAGTCAGGTCGAAAGGTGGTTAACTGGTTTGAAGTTAGGCAGAGAGTTCAATCTTACCATTTCAACCCACTTCTTTTCATGAATGGAATCTAAATTTCAAAAGGTCCAAAAGAATAGGGGAAAATGATCATGCAAAAGGTGCAAAGCATTTCTAGTTTCCAGTTTCTACCCCTAGAGGTCAAAAGGGAACCTGGAAAGCAAATCAGTCCCAAACCCAGAGCTGGGCTCTCTCACCAAATATCTAAATTGTTTTGGTATAGCTGCCAATCCCCATTCTCACTCCCTTTGTAATGAAATAGAAGGCATAATCACACTGATCATGGTGTCAGTCGTTACCTTCTACATCCATGACAACTTCAGAGTTCTAAGTCTTGAGTAATTGCAGTTCAAAGTTTTCTGTTCAGACAATAATCTTATGATTTATTTTCTGGCTACAGTTTTTTTAAATTACCCAAAATTTGTCAGACTCAAATTCAAACATCAACAGACCAAGTGTTGGTTTAATCTCATCTTAAATGTCAGCTTTCACAAGAAATATCATGACAGATACTGGGACATTTTCTAAGACAGGCATGACCAAGAGTTACGTATTCTCAAGAACATTTTGCCACCCAAGACTTCCGCTATGCATGTGCAGGTGGTTAAGTATACGTACATATGAAAGTATAAATATATAGTCGATCAAACTATTGACACACAAGTCTATTTACATCCACTCAACCGAGATCAGGGACTGTAAAGAACTCATAATTATCATCTGGGATTTCAAGTCTAGGCTTCTTAAGGGGCATGGAATGTTTGGTAGGTCTGTATGAGTTGAAATTGCATAACTGTGGTATTGGAAGTTGAGGAACTTCAGCTGCTGCTAAAGCCTCCTCAGGCAATTGATCACCAAAAAGACCCATGTCTGCTAGCCATTCAAGCTCTCCAAGCTCAAGATGCTCTTTCTGCATAAAGATGGGAAAAAAATTATAGAAAGATGAAACCATTTTAAAGTAACAGTTTAGCTACAGCTGATCAGTTCGGTGGTTTCTGCATCAATCTTTGTCCTTCTGGTTAAGGATTATAACCAAAAACATTTCTCATTATTTAAGTTGGGAGAATTTCCAAAATGCTAAAATGGTTCAAAAGTAAAAGGCCTCATTGCAAAAGAACTAGGTAAAACTCTTACTATCTTTTGGTGAAATTTTAAATCATGTTCCATTTATTTTTCTCAAAGTTATGTGTGATTCAATTAATGATATTTTATATATGTTTCTTAAAAGTTATTATATCTATAATATATTTTTCAAAAAGATTTCATAGTTATATGTTCATATATCAGGAAAGCAATTAACATAGTAATGTGTTTGTTGGGGTTTCCACTTTCCCCCTCTTGTAAAGACTATATAGAAACATCCAAGACTTTATTATTGCTAACTTCTCCTAATTTAACCACATCACCCAGCTGTATGACATCTACAACACATAATTTATATTATATATAGCTCGGTGTTCAGTCAATGCAAACAAATTAATGAATTTAGTATTTGCATAGTATGCAATACTCTCTTGACTTCTATAGACTGTTTCATGATTCAGACATTTTATATCATAGTTCTCTAACCAACCAGTGTAAGCAAAAGATAATAAACAAACATCTTTAATCATTATATCTTTCTCACCTTGTCAGGAGATCCAATATCCGAAAACTGCAACAGATCATCAACAGCCCATGAAGATGCAAAGCTTGACTGTTGCTGTGCTGGCATTTTCATTGCGGTCTGAGGTGCACTCTTGTTGGGCGGCTCCAACCCATTCTTTTCAGTATTCTTATTGCAACTAGAACTTAAGGCAACACGGATTCCTGTGGCTAGGAACCTTTGATGATTTGCAGAAAGGCTGCCAACTGAATGAATAGGTTCATCACAATCCTTGCAAAAAAGGGCTCTATCTTCAACACAAAAAATGAAAGCTGTTTTTTCCTGTACGTGGAGTGAGAAGAGGATCAGAGCCTCTGAACATTCAGAAAACTTTTGCGATTAAGATAATGAACAACATTTGAACAATCATAGTAACCTGATTACAAAGAGTTTGCTTTTACTATTTCTATAAATCTGAAGTCTAAAACCATGGAGTTATCTTAATTATTAAGCAAGGAGTGAGTAACAAGATGGAATCAAGCATGATTCCATATTCAAAAATGGTGAAAGCATTAGACTACCAAAGGCAGTGGTTAAGATATCAATGAGAAAATGTTGTCGCTTGGGACCATATCTACATTACATATCCTCCCAGGCTCAGCAGCTTTAGCCAGATGAACCCTAGACACTTGCTAATAGCCTTTCAATCAATCAGAAGGGTTGCAAACACTTTGAAGGTATATACTTTCTAAACTATTTGTCAAATTTCATATTCAGTCTAACAACTAGGATGGGAAAATATGCTTCTTGTTTGACCTGTCTTCGCTCTCATGCATGAATGCTCTATTCAACTTCTCTCACTCCTCTTTCTTGCATTCCAACAACCAAACCAGCTAATAAAATTAATATCCTTGTTACCCTAAGATCCACTGCACAAACTGATTCAATAGAACATTTCAGATTTAGACATTTCATCAAGCTGATATACTAGTGATGTCATCGGAGCAGTTGACAAACAATTGAAATTACAAGCAGGCATCACTTGCACCCCACTGCTGAAGTTACAGGCCATTCCATAGTTTTCTTTCTTTAATCTATTATTCTCACATGAAGCATTTTATTGCCAGAAGATTCGGAATTGAAATCAATGCTTTGGAATAATGTGTTATTCTGTTGAAGAATCATAAGTTGCATTTCAAGAGTATTATTGGCTTTTTGGAGAATAACATGAACAACCAAGAAAAATTACATAACAAATCATTCAGACTCAATTACAGAAACCATGAGAAACAACATAAAAAAAAAAAAAAAAGCAGCTGACGTCTATAAAAATATAGACAAAATAGAAACTAACAAAAAAAAGCTGAAGTTTCATTGGAGGTAAGTAAATGAAGCGTACCTGACATATATCACAAGGAGGAAGCTTGTTTGAAAGGCACTGAAGAAGAATCCTTTGGTGCTTACTTGCAAGCTTGTTAGCTGCATGAACTTCAACATCACATTTAGCACAAAGTGCAGCCTCGTCTGCACAACATATCACTGTTGCTGGAGCTTTTTCACAAACATCACACTGGATTTTCATCTTTATATTAACCTTCGAACTCTGTTCAACTCAGTTTCAGTATTTCTCACTGCTACTCGTTTTTAACCAAGATCTCCGTTTGTTTCTGAAATTCACGAAATACCCATAGTTCAAAAACTTGTAAAAATAATGAAAAAGTGAAGCCAAGAAGATAACAAGATCTGGGTATACCTTAAAAAAGCTTCTTCTTTTATTACCAGAACTTTCAAAGAGAAAAACTTAAGAACGAAGACTATGTCTTGAGAAAATAAAGGAGGAAAAGAAAAAGGAAAGAGAAAAAATCTGGGAAAATATAACACAAAACGGGAAAATGAGGAAGAGAGAAACGGTGGAGGAAAATACAGGTGATGTGAGAAACACAAGCAACCAAGCTAGGATCTGTGTGACCATACAGTAAGGGAGATAGCAGAAGTGAATGGTGGAGAATCCAAGAAAGATGGCTTGAGTTGAAGATAAGGCATTGAGATTTTGGGTATCAAAATCAACAATTTTGGTGCTTACAACAATGCAATTGGTAGGGTCAGTCCAGTGAGTCAGTCAGCTGTCTCTCCCACCGTGGATTGTTGTGGTTATGGTTTGTGCAACGTGTTGCCACCAACTAAAACATGTTTTGTGGCCACTGTTGATTAAGATTAAAGTTATAAATGAATTGAACATAAAATAATGCACATTAATTTATTCATTTATTATTAGAGTTATTTGAATTCAATTCGTATTTAATAAAAAATTTATTAATTATATTTGAGTTCGATTCATTTTAGATAATAAAATATTTATGTTTGTTTATATTTAATTTATTTTTATTTAAAAATATTTTTAATAATTTATACAAAAAATTTTGAAAAAAATTATTAAAGATATTTTGATCCAAAAATATCTTCAATAATCCTTTCAATAAAATTTTTGTATAAATTATTAAAAATATTTTTATTCAAAAATACTTTTAATAATTTATATAAAAATTTTTGAGAGAAATTATTGAAGATGTTTTTTGTTAAAAATATTTTCAATAATTTATACAAAAAATTTTGAAAGAGAATATTGAATGTATTTTTAACTAAAAAAATCTTTAATAATTCATTCAATAAATTTTTTGTATGACTTATTAAAAGTATTTTTTATCAAAAATATCTTCAATAATCTTCATTAAATTTTTTGTAATATTGTTATTAACTTATTATTATTATCAAATAAATAAATGAATTTATTCATGAATATAAATAAACGAATAAATAATTATTTATATTTGATTCGTTTAATAAACGAATATGTAAATAATATTTAAAATTATTTATTAAATTTAATAAATAAATAAATAAATATCAAATATATTTATGGACGATTTATCGAAAGCTCTTTTCGCTTATATCTTTACCGTTGATTTTGGATTTTTATGGAGTTATGATTCAGTGGTTTTCTTCCACATTACAATAAAGGCGAAGTTCTACAAATAAAATTTATATGAAATTTATGAAATTAAAAAAATATTTTCATAAAAATATAAATTAATAAATAAATAAAATTTAATATGAAAATAAATAATAAATAAAAATATTATTTATAATTTAAATTTAATTAATATTTATTTAATAATAAAAATTTTGTTAATATTTTTATTTAAAAATATATATCAAAATTTATTAAATTTTTTAAAAATTTTCATACTTAATCTATATAATGAGATCTTTGAATTTATACATTTTAATTTTTTTTTTAATTTTACTTAAATAATTTTATTTAAATCTTTTTCATTTTAGGGTAAGCTTCCATTTAGTGAGCCAAATATTTTTTCATTATATATTTGATAATTAATAATTTAAGATACTCATTAAATTTAATTTATATAATAAAATTTTAAAAAAATTTTAAACAATAAAATATTAAAATAAAAATAAAAATATTTATATTTATAAAATTATAATAATTTAATTATATATATTATTATTCGATTAAAATTTTAAACCAATTTAAAATTAAAATTAAAATTTATTTAATTAATTTTAAATTTTTTATATAAATTTTCTTAAATTTAGATGAACCATATGATCTAAATAAATAATTCAATCCCTTGAACAGGCCAAATCAGTTACGTAAAACAGCTAATAGAAGCAAAAACAAAGTGAAACACGCAAAACAACATTACAAAAATGTGATAAAATTTTGTTTATTTTAATGGGTAAAATACAATGATATACCATCACCGCGACAAAACTCATTTTCAAGCACGTGACCATAAATAGCTAATACGAAAAAAAAAAAAAAAGCTCACGTGAAACATGTAAAAAGATTTTGGAAAATGTTAATGATGAAATATAATGTTGCATCTTTGCCGATAAAATTTTTTAAATAATTTTTTGATCAATATTTATGCTAAAATTAATTTACTTTAGATGAAGGATTTGAATTTGAGACTTAGATCCATTTGAATAAACGATAAAATTAATTTTGATAAAATTAAAAAATAATAAAATTATTGTAATTACAATAAAAAATACAATTAAAAAAATTTATAAAAAATTTTATGTTAAATAGATTTCACTGAAATTGATATTTAAATTCAATTAATAGTACGATAAATTTAACTGTACTGCATTGAAGGGGTTGTAGAATCTAAATCTATGCTTAATCGAATTAATTTATGTAATTATTTTTAAGATGTGATATTCATAAATTTGAAATTTAAAATTTAATATTTATAATATATTTTTATTTTTAAATTAAATTTAAAATTATAAAAAAACTCAAATTTTAATAGATGTGAGATAGTATTATTTTATCGCAAGATAATAAAAATCAGTTACAAATTTAATCATTTTTCCAGCATTTTATTTTCTTTGTATTAAAATTTTTTGTCTATACTTTTTTTCTTCCATTCTTCTTTATTTTCTTGCCAAATATTGTGTAAAACGAAAAATGATTTTTCTAAAATTAGGTAAAAAAAATGGTTAAATTTATGCTTCTAAAAATCCTCATTCTTGCCATTTTTTTTATTTATCTTTTGCTTTTGAAATTATTAAACATATTTAAATTCAAAAGAAAATGAATATTTTTAGATAAATAAAAATTCGATGTTGGTGTTGCATTTTAGTTAATTAGTTTTTATTTTCAATTAATTATAATTTTGTTTTTAAAATTTGCATTTATATTTTAGCAATATTTTATAAAGTAAAGAGCAAAAAAAAAATGATAATAATATAATAAAAATAACAATTAAATAGAACATAAATTACATCACAAGATGTGAATAATTTATTTATTTCATAAATTTTCTTTTCTTTTTTTCCTTTAAATGTCAATGCATTAATTTTTTAAATTAATACTTGAATTCTCTTTAGATATAGGCTATTCTCTTTTAATTTAAAAAGGTTAATGTTTAATTTAGTCTCGAAATTATACTTATTTTCCACTATTGATATTTATAGAAAAAAACTCATAATTATGTACCTGAATTTTTTTTCATTAAATATTTTGCCTTATATATTAATTTTGTTAATGGTAAATTAATATAAAAAATTCAATAATATCATGATATATGATATATTTTTATTTATAAATATTTGACACATTAATATTTTAATTAAAGGTGTTAATCATTGATGAAAAGTATTTGATAAAATAAATTTTGAATATTTAATTGTAATTTTTTAAAAAATGATATAGTAAAAGAATCAAATTACATATTATCTTATTAAAAAATAAAATAGTATGATTTTGGGTTTTTTTTTTATTCTTGTCTTGACAAAAACAAAAAAAAAAAGAAAAAAAGAAGTACTTTAGAACTAAAACAATAGGAATCTTATCCATTAATTAAAAATAAATAAAATATATAAATAAATAACATAAACAAATCTTTCAAAATACACAAGACTTTCCATATTTTCTTTGCACTTTCCCATTTTAACCCAACATGTCAAGTAAATAAACAAGTGTTTGTTTGATTTTCACTTTATCAAGAATCACTTGTGACCCCAAATATTTTAAATAATATTCTTTGATAAGAATCACTCAATCAAGTCTTTTTTTTTTTAAATATTCTTTAGTTCTATTGAGAGAGCAAATAATCACTTAGTGAACCTAAATATTTTAAATGATAATCTTTGGCAAATTACCATTCTAATCTTTACCCAATGAGATTTTCACAAATATTTTTGAAATTTTGTGTTCTTGCCTTCAAGTTTCGTATAATTGTGTGTTTGGTTCGATTTTTTTTCGGGTTTTATTTTATTATATGTTAATTTATTTGGTTTTTTAATTTTGAATGTGTTGGTATAAGTTTAGAATATTGATGGATTTTATTATTCCATATTAGAATATTTAATTTTGTGGAGATGTACATACACAATTATGATTGTAACTTTTTTTTATTCATTGAAAAGAACATTTATACTCTTTAAAAAACAAAATTCAATTTCATTTGATAAATGAATGATTTATATAGTAATTCTTAAATAATTTCAATAAATTTTTAGGTTTTTTATAGATGATGAGATCACTCTAATTACAATAACCCTTTTTAATATTGAACTAACTAGTACACATTAGAAATTTAATGTCATAAAAATATATATATTTGTTTATTAGATTTTTTTTATATTAAATGTAATAGTTAATTATTTATATCATATATATTTAAAATTTTTATTGTAATTAGAATTTTTATTTGAACTTATCCACTTTTCAAAAAAAGTTTTAACCTAACCACATCATGCTATAATTAATTGTAATTATTTGATTAAAAACTATAATCTTTAAAGTTAATAATATTTATGAGACTCATATATATAGTTAAAATTGAACATCCAAAGTTGAAATTTATGAGGCCAGAGAAATTTTATTTATATTTTTCTCCAACCTAATGAAAACTATACATATATATATTTGATAATTATTAATGATTTTTAACCATTCTTAGTGTTTGTAAAAAAAAAAATTTACATTTGTTAGGTATCATTTATTCTTTTAATTAAATAATGACTGAACTTCAAGATTAGTGTTGTACATATCTAGCTATAAAAAAATGTATTATAGGTTCTAAAACCTATAGATAAGGATTGGGACAAAATATAATTATTAAAATTATCTTGCTAAAAATTTAAAATTTAATTTAATTAATGTTTAATAAAATTTGAGGTTCAAATTCAATTCCTATACAACTTTTTCTTTTATTTTGAGATTATTCTTTAAAAAAAATTATCATTCTAATAAAGAATATCATTCTAATAAAGACAAAAGAGGTTGGGCATGATTTCTCTAAACCAAAATTCTTGCTAAATGTTAAGTTTATAATATGCAAATAACAATCTTACCACAGAATCTTGTAAAATTGTATATTTTATCACATACATTATTGTTTCTTGCATTAATGCACAAATGACAAGAGAAAAAGCATATTTATTATTCCAATTTTCGAAAAAAATAAATAATTTATGTTTTTTTTTTAACTTAAATGGAAAAACTACAAGATTGTTAATATACCTATTCAGGACTAAGC